AAAAAAAATCTAATTGACTACAAGGCTACAAAAGATTTATAATCAATTAAAATATTGATTAAGAAAATAGAATAAAAATTATTAAATTAGATTCAAATGATGTTTTAATACAAATAATAATTTTTAAATCTGGCTCAAATTGTTATTATCTTATGACTAAATAATTAGAGTTGTTAAAAGAACTTTTTGTTCGTGAATAGCTTGTGTTCGGCTCGTTAAGCAAATGAGCTGAATACGAACACACTTTTTGAGCTCTAAATATAAACGAGTCGAACATGAGCTGAGTCCAATTGTGTTTGAATACGAACATAGCTCGTGTTCGGCTGGTTTACACCCTCACCGAACACGAGCTGAGCATACCATATCCTTAAGACCAATTGTGCCAGAGGGGATTCGAACCCTCGACCTGAGGGATCTTACACTGAGAATGCCAACGAACAGGCCGAGGTACGCGGCACAAACACACACACATATATATATTATACACATATTCTACAAAATCAAATATTAGCTTTCTTACTATAATTGCATTTTAGGTTGAAAAAAAAAAAACTTCACGCTAGAAATTTCTAGACAGCAACAAGAAAATTATTCCTCAAACCTAATTGTGAAGGTAATTTGAAACACAAAGTAGGTAATATATAAAGATCATCGCAAACTATCCCCACAAGGAAAGCCAATCAAAACTCAACATGGTGGAGCACACCACACAATAGCTCTGGTGGGAAATCTCCCACAATTTTCACTATAGCAGAAGGACCAATCCACCCTCAGGGAAACCCTATAAAATAGCTAGGGAGAGGAGAAGAAGAAAGAAACAGGGGAAGAAGACAGGAGGGAGCTAAGAGAATTAGTTGCCCAACCAGATCCTAAAACATGCCTATATCTTACAAAATTCTAATTAATTGCAATGGAGTGGGCATATTTAGTTAATTAGAAATAGAAAGTAAGTTACAGAGGCCAGTAAAAATTCAGAAGCCTGAAACCAACGGTGCAGGTCTTAGACTAATCTTCCTGTCTCTCTAGGGAGAGACAATTTAAGAACTTCACGCAGCGAAATTATAAACTGTTGCAGAAAGTACAGAGAAAAAAAATCATATTTTGATCAACTTAATCCACCAAAAATCATGAATTTCATCAACTTAATCAAGCAAAAATTTAGCAAAATGAAACCAGTCCAAACATGGCCAACAGCAAAACTCTAATCATCTAATTAAGAAATACAAAACAAAAGAAACAAATCAGAAGCAGCAGAGCTTCTCTGATCACCAACTACATCTCACTCACGACTCCATGAATTATATACAACAAAAAAGAAAACAAAGATTATAAAAACAAAATCAAAACCCTAATTTAAACAAGAAAGAAACAATCACCTCCAACATGAGCTAACAAAAAATTTACAAAATAAAAATCTTATTCACGCAAACCTAAAAACATAGGCAAACAAATACATAACCAGAAGCAAAGCAGGCCTAATCAACCGCTAGCGGTCTTCCCATATCTTCTTCACCGCCGCAATAGCCCACCGGAAATTCACCGGCGATGAGCCTTGGTTTTATTACCAGCACCATTTTTGCTGAAAATTGAACAAAAACCACACGCAGAGAGCTTGGGGGAGGGAGGATCAAGTGCCGGCGAAACTCTGCCGGTCCGATAAGGCCGAGCACCGGTTGATAGGCTTCGCTTCACGCCGCTAGATCCATCAATTTGTGCTTGTGTTTGGTCTTTGAAATCCGCCGATTCCTCCTTCGGTTTTGTTGTATTCATTTCATCTTGGATGAATCTGTCCTCCCACACGAGCCCTGATGATCCTGATCTCCTGAAGGTTTCTGTGGATCTCTGTAATCCGGCCATCTATGAATGGTTGCTACTGTATCTCTGGAGAGAATAAGGAGATTAGGGTTTGTGGGAGGAGGGGAGAAGATCGGGTATATGAAGTGGAAGGGGAAGAGAGGTATTATTTGATGGTGACTCAAGTATTGAGTGAGAACCCCTGGCAGGAAAAAAATATTACATAGCTGTTTGTAGAGTCTAATTTCAGGTGAAAGATCGGATTCACCTACATAAAAAATGAAGACGCGTTATATGAATATCCCCTTGCATTATTTTGAATATTTTTCGCATTATTCAAGTGTTATTGGTGTGTTATTATAGTGATTTTTAGAATAACAAATTAAAACACATGAATAACGCGAGGAAATATTCCTAAAGCCTCAATAACACACCAATAACACATGAATAACATATCAATAACATATTAAATAACACATGAATGATGCGAAAAAAATATTCAGAATAACGCGAGATAATATTTCTATAACACAGATTGAATAACACATTAAATAACATATGAATAGCGCGAGGGAATATTCCTCAACCCTCACCAATAACACATGAATAACGTGAAAAATATTCAGAATAACGCGAGTGAGTATTCTTATTGATTGAAAGTCGGGACGGGTCACACCTTTTCAACCATCCACTTGTTAGCATGAGATTGGACTCCGAAAGCAGCTCTTCATACAGAACCCTGATGTAATATTTTTCTAATTCCTGAAATATTCTGCAAAAAAGAGAGAGAGGTAATTTTGTAATTTTAAAGTAGTTGTTACTGTAAATAAATTTAACAATTAGAGAAAATGAGAAGGGCAATTTAAGGGTTGCCAGCTCCAGAAAGTAAGTGGCTTAATTTATTCTGTGGCATGCCCTGCTCATTTGCAAATGGCTCATTAAGCATTTGGCAGTCTTGGAACTAATGGTTGGCTATAAGTGATATTTTTAATAAATTTTTTAATATCATATAATATATTACTTTTTTTTTGGGTGCATGCACATCACATTTGCAAGACCTTGAACTTAGGCCTCATTATGGGTTAAGGAAGTATGTTTGAAAGCAAAATCTAAGATTGTTTTTAAAATTTCAGTTTGTAAGAAAAAATAAGCATTGTGTCTTAAAGGTATGGTCAAATACAAACAACTTAGCCCAAGCTCATATATACACAAAGATGATTCATCCTCAAATCCTAATTAAATCTATTTAGCAACTAAGCATAAAGATATGACACTAATTTGATACATATTTTCATATATTTTTTTTGTCTTTTTCATGCAAAGTCAATAATGTAGTGTAATGAGGATCACTCACAACTTTATAAATAAAGAGTCTATATATACACTCTCTATACTCAATTTTTTTTTTTTTTTGGAGAAATTATTGTGTTTGTTTGAACATAGAGTTACGCTCGGGCTCCAATTGAAACAACCCAGTTGGTAGTGCTGTAAAATATTATTTTCTCATCTAAAAAGTGGGGAAGCTTGAAGCCGGACTCAACCTACATTGATTTGCGCGGCAAAAAATTCATGTAAAAAGAAAACTTTAGAAGATAGAGTGTCATTTTTTTTTCTTGAACGCTGCCCAAGCTTAAGGAGAAAAAGAAAGCTGTAGGGTTTATGGCTGAATATTATTCTGTCGCCCAAACCGAAAAAGAAGAAAAATACTATAGGTCGTAGCGAAGATAGAGGACAAACATAACATTATCCTAGAAGATTTGGATGTCATCTTCCCTTGAGCATTCCTTTGTAAACTGTTATTGTGTGTTGTAAAAGATTCATTTGATTATAACATTTGTTATTCGAGAGCAATCATGTTGTACTTCTTGTTATGAACATTTCGTCTCAATTACAACTAAGTTTTACATCATTATAAGTATAACCTTGTTGTACTACATATTATAACATAGGTAATGACATTATGAATGTTTAGTGTATAATACAACATGATTTTATATCATTTTTTCATAAGTACAACCGTGTTGTACTTTATATTATAACATAGATAACGACATTATGAATATTTGGTCTATATTATAACATGGTTTTACATTATTTTACATGAGTACAACTTTGTTGCATTACGTATTATAACAAACCTAGAATACAACTTAGTTTTACATTATTTTTTCATGAGTACAAACATGTTGTACTATATATTATAACATAAGTAAGGATATTATGAATATTTTCTCTATAGTCTAACATGATGTTATATATTTTTTTCATGAGTACAACTATGTTGTACTACATATTATAACATACGTAAGGGCATTATGAACATTTGGTCTATGATACAACTTGGTTTTACTCTACTATAACCCAAATACAACCAACTAGTACTTCATATTTTTATGCAGGATATGTAATTTGGATGTTTATTTCTTGAGTATAACATGTTTATATCTCATTTCTCTTAACTACATCCATGTTTTAATCAATGAATTTGGAGGTCTCGCTGCAAGAAGACGAATGCAATGATGTAATTTCTGTGGATTCTAAACCAAATACAAAAAAAAAAACTCTTTTCCACCAATGTTCAAAATGAAATGAGACATATAATTTGTATTGCAACTATGCACATGATATGGGTTTTAGTTTTTGAAATGAATATAAAATCAAAAGATTTTTTATGCTCGAAAGCTGGACATAAGAAAGCAAGAAATCTAAATAGCACATCAGAGTTCAAAAAAACAGACACAAGACCCTGTTGTTGTACAATGATTAGATTTGTCATTGATCCAACAAGTAAGTGAATTGTAAATAAATTTATAGATTGTCATAACCATCCATTAGAATAACTAGTTGATCAACACCCGTTGAGATGATATTATCACATCAGTGAAGCCAAAACATCTATGCCACAATCAATGACACAAGCAAAAAGTAGAGCAATTGATGCATTCAGATATATTGTTAAGGAAATTGGAGGAGTATATAAAATAATTTTTTTACAGAAAGATGCACTTAATTATATATGAAAAGATAAGAGAGGTAGAATTGAGAATGAAGATTCTAATGCTCTAATGCAATTATTCAAGAAACATAAGCTAATAATATTATGTTTACCTAGGATGTCAAATTTGATGAGTCAAATTGATTGGATTTTTTTTTGAGTGATGACATGTCAAGGTTAGACTTTGATTACTTCGGAGACGTCATAATTTTTTACACTAGTTATCGACTTAATAAGTACAATTTAGTTTGTGCACCATTTATTAGAGTTATTCATTATTGGCAAAATATTTTGTTTGAATTAACAATTTTATCAGAAAATACCATTGAATCATTTACTTTGTTATTCATTATAAGCATCCTATAACAATATACATTGATCAAGATCAAACAATGACAAAATTTACAGAAATTTTATTGGTTCAAACTCAACATTGATTATGTCAATGACATTTCTCTAAGAAGACTCCTTAAAAAATATATTGTTGCAGTAGTAATAAGATAGTACAACGATTGTTTCACGCATGCATGAGAAAATGTGATTCAGAGGAGGGATTTGTACAATTATGACATGGGATGATATAGACAGGAGATCTTCATACTCATGCTTGACTAAATGAAATTGATAGAATTAAGAAAAATGGTTAACACCATTTAATAAAGTTTTATTCTGCATGGAAATATTATCAATACAATTTAGTGAGCCTACAAATAATGTATGTCATGGAATCTCTATTCTTACAAGCTCTATCACAGATTATTTTTTAGGATTGGAGAAACTCATGGCTACATGGAGAAAAAATGAGCAGGACGAAAATCTTAAATGCGACCAGTCTGAAGTTATTCATGTTGTCAAAAGCAGCCCTATTATGAAGCAAGCAGTTGCATTTTATTCAAGTAAGCTATATTATTTTTTGAAGAAGAATAATTGCATGAAAATGGTGGCCCAGTCGTATAGATTTCTAATTATAGTCCTACATAATACATGGTTAGATACTTGGAGAATTTTGAAAATTCTAAGATTTGGATTGTCAATTTTGAAAAATTAAGTTCTAATATAAAATGTAGTTATAGGAAATACGTAATTATTAGTAGATTGGCCTTGTGGGTCAAATTTTGGTCAATACAACATGGTTGTACTCGGCCTTATCTTGAGTACAACCATGTTGTGCCCCATGTTATGATAGTAGATTGAATTGTAGGTTAAATTTTTGTCAGTAGAACATGGTTGTTCTTGGCTTCTCCTTGGACTGCATCCATATTATGCACTACGTGTCGACATTTGATTTTCATCTATGTGAATTTTCACCTAGTACAACATGGTTAAATTCAGGTATTTCTTGAGTATAAATATGTTGTGCCCAAATATATGGTATTTAATTGGTTATATGGGTGAAATTTAGGTCAGTACAACATGGTTGTACTCCTATTTTTCTTAAGTGCAATAATATTGTGACGCATCCCACGACTGTTGATTCAACATTTATATTGAATTTTCTCCAGTACAACATGGTCGTACTTCTATTTAGCATGATAGAAACCATGTTGTACCTTAGGCTACATCCTGTAGCATTTTTTTGTTGGATGTATGTCACTTTTTAAGTGAAGTAATGTGTGTAAGTTTTATAAGAAGATAATTCAAAGCATAAAATATATCAATTATTCTGTAAAGAAATGTGGGATTCTTTTAATCAGATAATTTAAAACATTAAATGAAAGAAAAACATAGCACAATTTACAACATAATTTTAATATTCTTCTGGACGTCAAAATAGTTTATAAGAAAATTCAACCCTAACTTTTTTATTGTCAATCTTGATGCTCACTCCAATCTATGATTTCTCGAGAAACAATAAAAATAATAAATTTACACACATACATATCACAATCATTGTTGTTCTCTTGGCGTGGAACCACACTAACACCTTCAACCGACCATTTTGCGACATTAAACTCAAAAGCACTATTGACATTTTTTTTTATAACATAGGTTTGTGGAATATTAGTAGAAAACATAAATGCTCATAGGTTTGTGGAAAAGTTATGCATAGTGTCATTTGGTGGACTATGTATGGATCTATGTGGAGGACTATGCACAGAGCTACGTGGTAGACTATGTAGAGAGCTAACATGCAAAGCAATAGTTAACGACCAACTTAAATGAGGTAATTTAGTGGTTGGTGAAGATGTTGGATTGGAGAATGA